CAAAATCCGATGTATTAAAAAGTGCTCTGTGAGAGCACGTTCACGCACTTAGTGCAGTTGGAGCCCCTGCGAGAGGGGCGCGGCCTCCGGCGGAGCGGAGCAGGAGCTGGGGCGTCGGAGGCGCGCGGGCCCGCCATGCCGCCGCCGGGCCGCGCGGGCCTCCCGGCCTCGGCCCTGGAGCGGCGCATGCGCAGCCTCCCGGCCTGGGAGCCGGCGCCGCGGGGCGTCCAGCATCTCTCGTGCGCCCCGAGACGGGGGCCAGTGCAGAGGCAGATCGGCCCGGACGAAAGGGGGGGATTGGGAAAGGGAGGGTTGCGAAATCTGCTGCATGCAGCTGGTTTCGGCCTCACCGAGGGGCCCATTCCTCGATACGCGGGCGCCTCCGGCGCCGGGAGGCGCCGGGAAAATCAGCTAATTACGTGAGATTCTCAAGCCCCCCCCTTTGCTACCCCCCCCTTTCGCCCGACCCGAGCCTCGAGACGGGGGCCAGTGCTCTGCACGAACGAGATGGTCACGGAAAGAATGGGCACGATGCCCAACAGCAGTTCCTGTCCATTTTGAGCAGGGCTCGCTGTCCGCGCCGCCGCGGCCCGTGTCCCTTCGAGGCAGAAGGCCGCCTGCCCCACAGCGGCCGCCGTTGGTTTGGGACGACAGTTGCTGTTGGTCACCACCTACCAAACCACCCCAACCCAACCCGAAGGCCTCAATTTGCCCTCCATTTCCAGTGGGGGGGGGGTCGGGGCACGTTGAAAAAACGCATGGAACCCGTACCCCCCCCAACCCGAAATTCGGGTCAAATTCGGGTCTTCGGGTTGGGTTGGGGTGGTCTGGTAGGTAGTCAGTTGGGCATTGCGCCCATGCTTTCCGTGCCCATCTCGGGCGTCCAAAAAGTGCAGACGCGGAGGAGGAAGAGGTGGCCCATGCCTCTGCCCCTCCCTCGCCTTCCCCGCTTTCGAAGCCTCCTCGAGAGGCCCTCGCGTCGCCACCGCGGGATCTCGCCTCGAAAAGTCCTGGTCAGAGCGCACCCCCCCCGGGAGAGGTCCAGGGAGCAGCGGCGTCGGTGCCTCCTGGTTTCCCCACCAGCGGGGGTCGGCCAGAGCGCCAGATCTTGCCGGCTCTTGCAGGGCCAGGCCCACAAGCGGGGGTCAGCCAGAGCGCCAGATCTTGCCGGATCTTGCAGTGCCAGGGGCGTGCTGGCCCGGGGTCAGAGTGCAGGGTCCAGCAGGGACCCTGGTCGGTAGACGCCCGACCATCCTTCATTATTGGATACTGGAGTTTCCCAGTCGCGACCGACGGATTTTGCTTCAAATTCCGGCATCGGTCGCGACCGATTTGCTTCAAATTCTGTCGCGATCGGTCGCGACCGACTTGGAATGCCGATCGGTGCGATCGAAACATCGGGTATCCCATAATCTGAAATGTCGGCCGCCGCTCGCTGCCCTGGGGGGTGGGGCGAGGCGTGTAGATCCTCAGAAGAGGGCCTGAGATCGAGGCGTTGCAAGTTGCTTCACAGAGGCAACCCCGGAGATCCGACGTCATGTTTTTTTTTGTTTTCAACACGCGGTCGCAGAAGTCTCGACCCATTGCACGGGACCTGTTTTTCATCCTGAATCGTTTTTTGTTTGTCGTTGGGCCCAGCGAGGGCCCCCAGAGGCTAAAACTGCGAAAAACCTCCGCCTTGATTGTTTCAATACGTTGAATCTCTGGGACGGGAGGGACCAGGAGGAGCGGGAGCTGCAGGCGATCGGGGAACGACACACGGCGCCCGCGCAGTCGGCCCGCGCCGTCGGCAGGCACGTTTCACCAGTGCCGCAATGCGAGTTTACTGCGTTGCACATGTTCGTTATCATTGCGCTCCGTTGCACCGTGGCTCCGAGCGCTCCGTGGCTCGCGGCTCCACGGTCCCGTGGCGGCCCGTGGTTTCCCGTGGCGGTCCTGTGGCGGCCCGTGGTGGTTTCCCGTGGCGGCCCGTTGCGACGGGGCCGATCGCGAAAACCTTGCGGTGCCCAATGGTGGCGCTGAATCCGCTCGTTGGCCTCGAGTTTCGAGAGAACGCATGACATTCCCATAAAACTCTTGGCACGGACACGAGTTTGCCGGGAACACCTGGCCACGGCCATGAGTTTTAAGAGAACGCATGATTTTGGCCATGAAATCCCCAGGAACCAAATGGCACGGACACGAGTTTGTCGGTAACACATGCCAACGACCATGTGTTCCGAGAGAGCACATGGCACTGGCCATGACATTCCCAGAATGCACATGGCACGGACGCGAGTTTGCCGGGAACACCTGGCACTGGCCAGAAGTTCCGCGAGAACGCATGCCAAGGGTCCAGAAACCACCATGGCGCTCCAGAGTCACAATCAAAAACAATATCAAAATCCCTATGGGATTCACGTGGGCACGAGTTCCGCGAAAACACATGGCCAGGTCAGGCGGCTCACCGATGCACATGCGCACTTTTCAAATTCCCCCCCTTCCTCGCCCCCATCCCGCCTTCCCCTCCTGCTTCCCCCCCCCTCCTGTCGCTCCACCCCCCTCCCCGGCTGCCTCCTCGTTCGCGTGGCCCCTGGGGCGCTTCGTGGCCCATGGCGTGCGGCCCGTTGCTCATGGCCCGCGGCCCACGGATGGTTGCCCGTGCCCCGTTGCCCAGTGGCCACGGCCCCTGGCCCGTGCCCTGTCGCCAGTGCCTGGGCCGTTGAGTCCAGCGGGTGCCCCGCGGCAGGTATCTGGTAACGCGCGTCGTCATGGCTACGAAATGCTCGAAATCCGACGGCCGCGGGGGTTGCGGAAACACGATTCGGTCGGGTGGATGGCACGTCCAATCACGCCTCCTTGTTCGACCTATGCGCGCGCGTTTCGAATTCAGTTCGCAGCGACGGGCCTCTGGTTGTGTTGCGATCGGCGTGCGTCCGCGTTGCTTGCGACTGGGCCGCAATATGGCTGATTGGCTTTGGTTCTGAACCGATGATTGTGGCGGTCAGCGGGCATCTATGATATCCGATTGCGTTCGCGCGCGCGTAGCCTTGCGAGCTGTGCGCAGCACTTGCCTCGAGCCATAATACCTCCCCCCCTCTTCGTCACCCCATTCTTTGCCGCTCCCGATATTTACCAGGAAAAAGGAACCAGGAGGAGGAGGAGGAGGAGGAGGAGGAGGAGGAAAAGGAGGGGGAGGAGGGAGGAGGAGCAGGGGGAGAAGAGGTGGTGGATGAGGAGGAGGAGGAGGAGGAGGAGGAGGAGGTGGACGGCCCCTGGAGAGGGTCAAACCTAGGCTTCCTTCCTCCTCCTCCTCCTCCTCCTCCTTCCTCTTCATTTCTCCTCCTCCGCCTCCTCCTCCTCCTCCTCCTTCTCCTCCTTATTCACCTCCTTCCCCTCCCTGAGGCAGGGCTTTCGATCAACCGCTTTATCTCCTTTCTCTTCGCCCTCCTCCTTTCTCTTCGCCTCCTCCTCCTCCTCCCTCCCGTCTCCCTCCCTCCCTCCCTTATCAGGCCCTACAGCCTTCAGCGCCTATGCTCAACCGGAAGGGCTGCCAAACTGCGGCCCGCGCGCAAGCCTGGCAGCTTGGTGAGCGATCCTCCCTCCTCCCTCTTCCCCTCCACCTCCTTTGCCCTGACGTGCGATGTCTGCATTGTTTTGAAGGAGTCCCTGGAAGCCTCGACCCTCCAGGGCCAGGTTGTCCTCCCGAGTCGTTTTGTGCTGGTCATTGGGGGACCCGTGAGGGCCCCCAGAGGCAGGAAACAGCAAAGCGATGCCCGTCGTGATGTTTTGACCACTTGAGGGGGTCTCGGGGGCGGAAAAGAGGGGGGTGATGACTAGGGGGGGGTGGATATCATGGCGTGGGCCATGATATTTTCCCAGATTTCATGGCGCCTCTTCTTATTTCATTACGTCCCTGGCCCCCCCGCTGGGCCGCGCACATGCCGCCGGTCATGATTTGCACCCCCCCCTCTTGGACACCCCCCTCTTTGCCGCTCCCGAGGGTCTGGGAAACGTATTCGCTTAGGCCTCCCCTGAGCTCCACGACCACGGCCGCCCAACAGAAGGGCGCCGGCTCGCAGGCTGGGCCGTCGTCGGTCCGGCGTGCGGCGCGGCGGGGTTGGTGGCCGGCTTTGCCGCTGCTGGCTTTGTTGGGCAGGCGGCGGTCAGCGTCGCAGCGGCAGCTTTCTTCTCGGGCCGGACGAACCCTCACAGTGGACGTTCGGGAGCCTTGAGACGGGGGGTCAATGCAAACGGGGGTCAGCCAGGGCACTGGATCCTGCAGGATCCTGCGAAGACCCCCTCTGGCTGACCCGGGTTTGCGAGCCGCTCGTGGCCGTGAGGCGGCCGCGCATATTGGCTGACCCGGGTTTGCGAAGCCCTGCGTTGCAGTTTTTTTCCTGCAATGCAGTTTTTGCTTTCCTGCTGACCCGGGTCTGGATTGACCCGGGTCAGAAGATCCCCGGTACGTCCCTTGAGATCGGCGTCGCATTTTTTGTTGGCCCGGCGTTCTTGCGCCAGGATTCGGGCCCCGGGCCATCACCGATCGACCGGGCGCACAAGATGCTGCAGAAGGATGGGGTCTAGAGCTCTAGTCGGGTGTTGTTCCGATGTTTGTGATGTTTGCAACGTCGTATTTCAGGTTTCGGGGATCCCTGACATCCGACGTTGTGTTATCCCTGGGGGCCAGCTTCGCATCCTCGGTAGTTGTTTGACGTTCCTGGGGCTTGGTGAGCGCCATGGGAGGCCAAACATGTCAGAACTATTCAGTCTTGTTTTTTTGTTCGCGACGCGGGGATGTCAGGGAAAGGAGGGGTGGACGGGGGGGTACGAAATCTGCTGCATGCAGCTGGTTTGTGCCTCGCAGCCAGGCGATTTCCTCGATACGTCTAGCCGCCACCAAAGCCGGGGTGCGGGAGAAAACCGGCTACTCGAACTGATTCGCTACCCCCCGTCCCTTCCTATCACCCCCGGGTTCGCCCGACCCGATCTTCCTGCTGGCCAATCTCGTGCGCGCGGAGGCCGACGATCCGAGGCTGCTGGGTCTGTTCTGTGCCGTGGTCTGCGCCTTCCTGGGCTACGGGCTGGCCGACGCGGCCTCGTGGGTACTCTGGCGCCCGTGGCCCGCGGGACATTACCAGCCTGAAGCATAAGCCGATCCCTACGATAGGCGTCGCATGATGTCGATACCGATCTTGAGGATCCCCTCCGTTTCCGAGGGCACATCCCCGAGATTGTCGTCGTCTTTGGCCTGCCGATCTTAGGGATAGGGCCAGGCTCGAGGCTGGTGAGGACGGGCGGCGGGCGTGCGTGCGGTGCAGCTGCCGCTGTTCCTGGTCAGCGTTGCGCTGTTTCACGCCGTCGAGTTCTTGTTCACGGTGGATGGCGGCGCTCATGCAAATCAGGAGGGAAAAGACGCACAGACACGAATGACCGTCCATTCCCTGGAAAATACGGGGGACCAGGGGAAGTGTGTGGGGGGGGGGGAAGACGGAAACTATGGAATAAGATGGGGAATCCTGGAAGCCTGGGAGTTGTATCTATTTGTTTGTGTGTCCCGGGGCCCCGCTAACAAAGGGTGGCGCGAGGGGCGGAGGGGGCCTCTCAGAAGGCAGGGGCCTTCTTGGAAGGCCCCGCGAGCACCTACTTCTCGGGCCAGGAGCTCTGGCTCGGCGTGTCGCTCCGCCGGCTCTGTCCCACCACGCTTCTCTCACCACCTACCAGACCACCCCAACCCAACCCGAAGGCCTCAATTTGCCCTCCATTTCCAGTGGGGGGGGGTCGGGGAACGTTGAAAAACCACATGGAAACCGTACCCCCCCCAAGCCGAAATTCGGTCCAAATTCGGGTCTTCGGGTTGGGTTGGGGTGGTCTGGTAGGCAGTCATTCTCCGCGTCAACGTCCCGAGCCTGTCCGAGCCTCCCGCCCCGCGGAGCGACACGCCGTCCGCCTGCACGGCACAGCGTGTCGCCGGGCCCGCCGCCGCGACCGAGAGGAGGAGGAGGAGGAGGAGGAGGAGGAGGAGGAGGAGGAGGAGGAGGAGGAGGAGGAGGAGGAGGAGGAGGAGGAATTGGAGGAGGAGGAGGAGGAGGGGAGGAGGAGGAGGAGGAAGAAGAGAAGAAGAAGAAGAGGAGGAGGAGGAGGAGGAGGAGGAGGAGGAGGAGGAGGAGGAGGCCCCCCTATGCCTTCTCTGACGCCCCCCCTGCCACCTCTTACGCGGCCGCGCCCCGCGCGCTACTCCCCTTTCTTGGGGCGCCGCCGAGGTGGTCTTCCACCCCGGCGACATCGAGTTCCGGGCATTTCTCCTGACCCCGGTGCCAGCAGGAGTCTGCGGCCACGATCGGGAAGCCGAGGTTTTACGTGCAGGCAGGTTTTTTGGCTCCTCTACACGGGAGGTTTTGTTTGGTTCAACCGATCCCCATTCCATCTTGTCCTCCTCCTCCTCCTCCTCCTCCTCTTCCTCTTCCTCCTCCTCCTCCTCCTCCTGGGCACAGCCTGGCGCAAGCATGAGTCTGCCTGCACGCACGACAGCTGGGACGGACGGCGCTGTACCCCTTTGATCGGGTTGCCGCTTGCGCCACCGCCCAGCGACACCTCGTGACACGAGGCTGAAAGAAACCGAACGGGTTATGACAGGGTGGCAGACGAGGTCTCACCAGCTCTGACCAGCTCACCCGTTCTGAACGGCTGAACAAGAAAGTGCCATTTCTTGTTATATGAATACCGTGCTGGGTCACGGCCAAGATTTAGCAAAACACGGGCTCCATGGGACCCAGGGGGCGGCCTGCCTGGACACTCCGAGCTGAGATTAGCAGAGATCGTGGCTCCGCCATGTCCACACACAGCACAGACGGCACACCAGGGCCCATTGGCGAGCTTGAACGAATGCACCACATGCCGACACACTCCCGCCAGCGCAACTCTGACCGCAGCTGCATCAGCCTTGGCCAGAGCTCGAGGAATGCGAGTGGGAGGAGGGGGATCCACAACAACAACGGGACCACGAACCTTCGGAACTCGCAGGCGGGGTGGCACATGGAGAGAATCATGATCGGCTAGCAGAGAGCCCACTCGAGCACACCAGATTGCATAGTCCTTCAGTACTTGGGCCTTCCTCTTACGGGTGTCCCGAAGCTCCTGAGGGATGCGAACTCTATCGGCTGACCACTTCGCCCAGGAGTCGGCTTCATCGTTCCCAAGCTTGAGAAACATGAGCCGACTCCGCATGGCTGGAGAGGCCGACTCACTAACTACATTGGCGCGAGTGGTGTGGGCCCGCACTTTCACCAAGGTAAAAGCAGAAACCCCACCCCAGTCCCGAATTCGAGCCCACACCATTCGCCACAGCTCGGCCCAGGCGCTTTTGCTGGAGCAGCAGGCCCGCTCTCCCCGAACCATGACCCCAGAATAAACAAAGTCAGAATCAGTGTAAAAACAGGTGCCAGGAGCGCCATGCTGGAGACCTCTCAACAACGCAGTGAGCTCCGCAGCATCTATATCTTTGACGATCTGGCTGAGAACGCCACACATCACTGAAAGCACCCTGTGACGACGACGACAGACGGAGACAATGGCCCATCCTGCCGTCTGCGCCTGGGCGGGCAGGTGCTGGTCCATCCAGCTGCCGTCCAAGAAGACGTGGCCACCCATCTCTGCGGGTCCACCCGAAAACCACCGATCTGGGACAGTGGAGGAGGCGGGGAGGGGCGCATCAGGCACAAGCAGCCTCTCGGCAAAGAGGCGAGGGAGAGGGTGGGCAGCAGCACGAGCAAGCGAGCTAAGATACACTGGAACCTGTGCGGCACCCATGCTCTGCTCATGTGCCGCACACGAGAGGTGTCTGTGCGCCAACGTGCACGGAGCACTCATGCACGCTCTACACTCGGCCGAGGTAGAGAGCCCACACTCCCATTGCCTGTGCTGGGGCCACTGACCTCCAGAGACAACTGACTTGATATAGCCACGCTCAAGTGGGAGAAGTGTGGAGCCATTCACAAGCGCCACAAGCGGGTTCATGTTACATCCTTGAATTAATTCTGGCACAGCCTCTCGCACCGAGACCTTGGCCCACAGCCAGAAATCAACCACACGCGTCAACCACATGGCAACCGAGCGAGGTCCAAAATCAAGCACCGATATCTCTCCAAGCACGGCATGCCGCCAAACAAAGCCCTGGATGACAAGACCGAGCCGAAGAGCGGTGGCGGCACAAGCAGAGAAGGGACCTCTGACGCTCGCCCATGGGTTGCCGCTGTGCTGCAGACGAAGAACAGCAGTGACCAGACCTTGCTCGAGCAGCCTATGCGGCAAGAGAACGTCCCAAACAGCGGTGGCATACATACAAAGCGGGTCGATGTTGAGACGATAAGACGGGTCGCATTTTGGCGCCTCGGCTAGCATAAGCAACAGGGTTACACTGCGGCCAGACAAGCTTTGTACTTGCACATGCGCCTGTAACGCACGGGCCACACGTAAATCCGAGTTATTTGTTCCATACACAGTGCCTCCGTACTTGAGAGAGGCAAGGCAGGCCGCCTGCACCATGTGATGCACACGACGCTTTTTTACTTCCTTCGAGAAACTCTGGAGCCTTCGAGCCCGTGCCACAGCAGGTCCCCTGCGGGCCCTTCGAGTCTCCCGAGGCATAGTGCGCGCAGCAGCAAAATCGATACCGAGGTTCCTTTCACTAGAGACCCCTTTAATATAAAACCTACGGGTTCGCTTCACAATCCGATCCCTGAGACCAGGGGACGACGCAACGACACGACCCTTCTCACGGTGAACGACCAAAGCCACACCTTTCAGCTCGGAGTGAAGCTTGCCCGTTGCTGCCACTAAATCTTTCTCAACGTCCTGATCGCGACCAATGCGCTGGAGGCCGAAATCGTCGACCACGACCCCTAGAGTGACATGGGGAAAGGCTTTGGCCACGATGTCGACAGGACCGATGAGAATTAATTGCAGCATCAGCGTTGCGAAATGGCAGCCAGGCAGGACGGCCTGCTGCGCCTCCAGAGGCGACGACACGGCATTGTTGTAGCTCAGCACTCGAGGCAACCGATAGAGCTCGACGAGAAGCTTTAACTGGCGGAGAGGAAACCCCGTGCGCTGCGCAGCAGCGACCAGCTGGGAATGTCGCACGTGCTCGAAAGCCTTCTGGAGGTCTAAAAGAACTAGACCCGAGGCAAGCCGTCTCTCGGAGGCCCACTCGGCTCCAGCGGCCTGCACCCAGACCAATTTGTCAGAACTACGCCCCTTGGCTGACCACCAATAGGGCCTCGGATTGGCCTGTTGCCACGTAGCAATCATGGAACGGCGAAGCCTTCCTTGTATCCGCGCTAGAATGCGTATGAGCGCTATGGGGCGGAGGCCCCCTTCACGCTTGGTGAGGAAAACAACTTTTGTCCAGATCTGAGGCCAGCAACATTCGGCCTCAATGTCTTCAATGAGGTCAATGAGCAGGACAAGCCCAGCATCGGCCAAGGACAAAAGCTGCCTAGGCGTGATCTGGTCGAAGCCGCACCCCGATTTGTTGGGAAAACTCCTGATGCAAGCTTTAAACTCCTGAAGAGAGGGCCTGGGAAAAAAGAGGACCCAAATCCCGAGGCCACGAGATGGAGTCCTTCAACACACCAACACGCCACCAATGACCCCACTCTTCTTCAAGGAGCTCCATCTCTTGATGCAAAGTGGCAGGCTGCTTCTTAACAACCCGTCCTTCACTGCAAACGAAAGAGCTGGCATGCCATGGCACAGGCGGCTTTGACACCGCATACAGAGCAGCGCCGCCGTTCAAACTATGCTCCTTGACCCAGGCACGCCAGCCATCCTTCTTCGACTTCTCAGCATTGCGAAAATCAAGGTCGGCAAGCTTCTTAGTAGCAGTCGCTGCAACTGCTGCCAGCTCGTACGAGATATACTTAGAAAGCCCTAACAACTCAAGCCAGGCTCTAGCAACATTCGAATCTATGCCTGCTGTGCCTACTTTGGCCTGGACCTGGCGGGCGAGGCGCAGTGTCGAAGCTCTCAGGGGCGCAGGCTGCCAGCGACTCAGACCCCAGAAGACCCTAGCGAGAAGACGCCACCAGGGAGAGCGAGGGGACAGCCTGGGGTAGGCAAGGTCCTTGGGTAGAGCAGGCTTTTTCCAGGCAAACTGGGGCCCCTCACTGCGGCCGAAGTACTCGGGCGACTCGGCGGGCACGATGCCGTAGACGTCAGCCCAGTCCAGCTCTGCGGCCGCGACCCAGCGCTGACACTTGCCATCCACGGTGGTCTCCATCATGTCCAACTCGGCGTCGATCCAGAGCTGCGCAGGATCGCGCGCGCGACAGCCCATGGGTATGTCAACGGGAAACCTCTTCGGGATGCATGCGACCCTGTAGCCGAAGTCCATCAGCGTGGCCGAGCAGAGCGTGAGCTTGACGGGGATGTGGGGCGTGGTGCCCGCATCGACGATGACCTGCACAGTAGCGCCATACTGCATGGACGCCGACACCACGAAATAATCCAAGACTTTTCCGCCAGACTCAGACGAGTTAGTGCAAGTTGCAACCGTCGGCGCCAGCACCACACCATCGATGGCCTCTGGCCATCCTGATCCAGACAAGATATCTGGCGTCATGTTGAAGTCACCACACACAATATACGGCATGTTCGCAACCTTGATCACTGCACCGACCGCTTCCAGTATCTGCCAATTCCTAGGCGAGAGCTGCTCACTGTCATGCAGGTAAAGCGTGATCCACAAGAAACCACCAGGCACCACTCCTGGAGTATGCAAAGCCACAGCCCTATCACCACAGATAGAAGGAGGGATAAGATCGACTGGGGCGAGACCTTGGGCGACGGGAACCATCTGCAGTATACCACCACTGGTGCCCACGCCGCGCCCCGTAGTGACGGCAGGCTCCATCCTGCCGCGCCAGCCTGTTTTACGTAACTTACTTTCCCAGGAAGCGCAGGCGTCAACTTGATGATGCTCTTGCACCGCAACAAACTGGGCATTCTTGACCGTACTGTGCTGGATCAGCGCCTCGAGGCCGACGAGCCCTGTGACGTTGCTGCTGATCATGTGCCACGCGCTAGGAGCTCGTCGCACCCGAGCCTGCTGCGCCAGCGGCTGCCTTGCCCTCGACTGAGTCTCCGTCGTCCACGCGCAGCTTCTTGAGCGCCTGGTTCCTGACGTTATTGAAGATGTCCGCCATGAGCTCGTGCTTGACCCCATGCTTCTCCATGAGCTGGACCATCTCGGGCGTATCACCTGCTTGCGCCTGCTGGAGGTAGTCCAGGAACTCCTGCTGCTGGGCGGCTGCAGCGGCGCGTTCAGCAGCGAAGGCAGCCGCGGCGCTGCTGTCGACCTCCATGGCGGGCTCCTCAGCTGCGCCTGGCTGAGCCTGCGCGGCCACGGGCCCGCGTCCCCCACCAGGAGCCACAGGCTCAGGCGGCTGAGAGACACCAGCAGGCTCAGCAGCCGTGGGAACTGCCTCGAGCAGCACGGGCACGAGGTTGCTGAGCGCGTCGGCGACCTCGGCGGCCTTGGGATTCCCCTGGACGGCGGTGAGCGAGGCGACCAGCTGCTTGAGCTGCGCGAGCGGGTCGGCAGGCTCAACCACCTGGCCCATGGCGGCGAAGGCAGCAGCAGCCCTGGCTGAAGCAGCCTTAGCAGCTGCCTCAGCTTCCTCCAAATCCTTTTTGCACTTTGCCGCATGAGCCACCGCTTTGAACACAGCATCATTCGCTCGATCCAATGCACGCTGGGCTTTGGACTTCTTATCTTCATACAAATCTTGATCCAAACGAGCAGCTTTAGCAGATGCACGAGGCTCTCCATTGAGCAACGCACGCTGCGCCAGCACTCGGTTGAGCTGCTTGGTGGGCCATCCTTCCGCGATATGCTCAAAATCGGACACGCCCATCTTCGCATAGATCTGCACCTGCTCTTCGGACAGGGACAGCTGCTGCCCAGACGGAGGCCCCTTAGCCCACGCGCCCAGATCACGATTGCCACTGCCATTGCCGAAGGATACGTCGGGCTGCCGCCCTGCTGGGCGACCGCATCTGTAGCAGTTCTTGCGCCAGCTGTAGTTGTACTGGTAACCGCACCTCTTGTGGCCACAACACCAACGAGAGAAATCAGGAACCCCAGCAGGAGCCATGACTGCGCCGTAATGGTGAGGACACAGAGAGCGGTTTCCCGCACAGTCCTCGGTGTGTGGTGGTGAGAAAGCAATCGGGGGCCGCAAATCCCCCACGCCACAAACTCAGTCCCTTGAGCAATGCCTCCGGACTTGAGCCAAAATGGCTACGGGCCTCCTCCTCCTCCTCCTCCTTCTCTTCATCCTCCTCCTCCTTCTGCTACTCCTCCATCTCCTCCTACTCCTCCTCATCTTCCTCTGCGCTAGCAAGCCCTACGCCTGCGGGTCCAATCGATGTTGAGGTGTCGGCAGCCCCCGGCTGGGGTTTTCACCTGGCCGCAGACATCCTTCGGATTCTGAGCCCCATCCAGCTGGCGTTTCAGGAACCTGGGCCGAAGAGGCAGCGTTCACATGTGATTGCCCACGGACCGAGGAAGGGAAAACTGCATACGCGGTAATTTCTGGAGGTCCGCGCGGATTTCTTGGATCGGCGCTGGGCCCCAATCCCTGGCGCGCGGAGCGCTCCGGGGGCGGCGCCGGAAGCGTAGCCGGGGGGATCCGGCGCGCAGATCGAAAAAAAGCCGCGCGGAGCTCGGACGGCTTATGTTCACGTTGGTCTCCTGTAGAGGAAGATGATGGTGACGATGATGGTGCTAATGGTCGATGGCGGGAGATGGTGATGATGATGATGATGATGATGGTGATGGTGATGATGATGATGATGATGATGATGATGATGATGATGATGATGATGATGATGAGGATGAGGATGAGGATGATGCTGATGATGGTGGTGGTGGTGATGATGATGATGATGATGATGATGATGATGATGATGATGATCAGGGAGAGGATGAGGATGATAGTGAGGAGGACGGGTAGGATGAGGATGAGGATGATGGTGATGGAGATGGTTATGCTAATGGTGATGTTGATGGTGGTGGTGATGATGCTGTTGATGATGATGATGATGATGATGATGATGATGATGATGATGATGGTGGTGGTGGTGGTGGTGGTGATAATGATACTGGTGCTGATGCTGTTGCTGATGCTGTTGCTGTTGCTGTTGCTGTTGCTGACGATGTTGCTGATGATGTTGATGATGACTATAATGATGACGCCGCCGACGACGCTGTGTGTGGGGGCCCGAGGAGGCTACAGCCTGGCGATGGTGGCCGCGCTCGTCGAGTTCTGGGCGGAGCGGTGGCTGCCCGGGCCCCGGATGCCGCCGGAGGCGGCCGCCGCGCTGCTGTGGGGCGGCTTCCTCCTCGCGGTGGGCGGCTGGGCCCTCCGCGTGGCGGCGCTGTTCACCGCCGGCTCCAACTTCACCCACCTCGTGGCGATCGGGGGCCCCCAAACGGTGTGGTGACCACACCGTGCGGTGAGTCGGTGGGGATTCGGGGTCACCGCACGGTTTTGGGACTCGAGTCGTTCTCCGAGGACGTCTCGGGCGACTGGGGCATCTGAGGTCCCAAAACCGTGCGGTGATGGACCGTGCGGTGAGGTCTTCGGGGGTTTCGAGGTCACCGCACGGTCTGTCACCGCACCGTTTCGGGACTCCAAAGGCGAGCCGCAAGGAGACCCCGCACGAGCTTCGGAGATGAAGCATGGCAAGAATGTGAATGGCACTGACTGTAACTGACAAGATCGAGACAGATATTCGGGGGTGGACAGAACCCCCAACAGTGACACGTCGATTAGTGAACTGTCCGTCTTCGGTTCTCGAGAGGGCGCCCGCGGCCGTTATTTTCCAGGCTTGCGCCCGCCAGGTTTGGGCCCGAAGTCGTTTTCACTAAACCACGTTGTACTAAAGGGAGGTCTGTCCATCCCCGAACGAGCTTCGGAGATGAAGCATGGCAAGAATGTGAATGGCACTGACCGTAACTGACAAGAGCGAGACAGATATGCAAAGCGCTAGGGATGCGCTGCAGGAGCGTGAACCTTTATGAGGTCTGCGTGGATATCCTGGATCTGAGCTGGACCCCCCTGGCGGCGCATCCGGCGCCGCCCCTGGCACGCTCCGCGCGCCAAGGAGGGTGGTCCAGCGCCGATCCAGGAAATCCTCCGCGCGGACCTTCGAAAGCTCACGTTCGTCATGCTTGTGTTTTCTACAGGAAGCCTCGCACCGGCTTGTGACTTGGGGGGTGTACGGCTGGTGCAGGTATCAGGGGCAATGATAGGGGGGGATGGGCATAGGAGGGGATGCATCGACCCCGAATCGCTCATTGATCGCCGATAGGGGCTCGATAGCTCTAACCTGCCCAGGGACGTGCGGATTCACTGTCGGGGGCCTACCGCCGATCTATCGGCGATGTATCGCCGATTCCAGGTCAATGTTTCCCCCCTATGCCTATCCCCGCTATCGTTGCCCCTCAAGGCACCCTGGCTACGTCGGCTGGTTCGCCTGGAGCGTCTCCACGCAGCTCGTGCTTCTCAACCCGGTGTGCCTGGCGGCCTACGCGGCGGTCCCCGACTTCCAGCGTCGTGATTTTTTCGACACGGGGTTCCCGAGGGTCGTCGTTTTCTGATTGTTTTGCCGATCGGCGCGGGCCCTCGACCCCCGCCCCCGCCCCTCATCCAGTAAACGTGGGCTGTTTGTCGCGCCTGTTTCAAGCAGGTCGAGTCCCACCCACAGGACGCACTGTTGCAAGCAGTCACGCTGAGCAGAGATCGGAAGCCAGACCCCCCTGTTGCCCCCACTTCCGCCCAATGTCGAAACGCCGAAAAAGAAACGCTCACAGGTCTCAATCTATGCTGGGCACCAGCTTTACGTCCTGGGCTTAGCTGCCTCGATGCGCCCGTTGTGAGACGCAACACGTACCGTGCTCAAAACGTCCGTGTCAATACGTGGCGTGTTGGCGCAACGTAATGGCCCAAGTTTGGG